AAAAAAAAAAAAAAAAACGTTAAAAAAAAAAGCCATAAAAACAGAAAATTTTAAATTCTGGTCACCCCTGTATCTTGAATGACATGCATTCATTTGTGCAAACTGTTGCACTATCACAGTAAAGTCAGCTTCAAAGCAGCAGTGTAAATGCAGGCCAGGCCAGCGCAGTTTAAAGTAATCCTTTTGGGAGTACTGTGCACATGGGAGCCAGATTTGGCTCAGCAGTAGTGTAGGGTCACAGCAGGTCACAGCAGGAGATAATAGCACTCAGAGAATAATCTTCCCCATTACTGTTTTTCTCTCCCTGACCTCAGAGGGCCTTACTGTGAAGCATCAACCCATTTCAAAGGACAGATACACCATGAAGGTGAAAACAACACTGACATGCACATACATACGTGCTTCATAACCACACAATGATGGCACTGTGGATCTCCTGTCAACAGCTGCAGCTGTGACCACATGATTACCCATCTTTCCACCTTAGATTTTTACGTATCCAACCCACCACAGGCACACAAGGCCCCTCAAACATCGCCTTACTAACCCACACACACACTTACTCTGTGCCACCATCCGTTTAGCCAAGAGCCCCAGGAGCACTAGGGTAAAGAAAGGAGAGTGCAAACAAACTCACCAAACTCTTCCCAAGTCCGAGGCTCCAGTTTCAGCCTTCTGTCCGCTGAGACTGGGGGGCCATGGGAACATGAAGCGTCAGGGGTCCTATGTCAATAAGGAGCAGTGGTTCAAAACAATAGGGGCCTGCTTGCAGACAACACCGCTGACAGACACCCACATAAAAGGGCCTGTGAATGCAGGCTCGTGCACAAACACACACACACACACACACAGAGAGAGAAAAGAATAGAGCAGTGTGTGCTTATCCACAAGGCCAGCATTTGATGACTGCTTCTGTGTGTGTACAGACACACTCAAACACACAGCAGTGCTTATGCTCATGAGGAAATGAACACACTATAATAAACCAAGGTCAGTTTAAAGTTACAGAAGAGCCTGTACCACAGAAAACACACATCAGTAAATTGTACTTTTAATGCATTCTTTGCATTTGTTTCAGTCTGAGAATGAAAGTGGTGGAATTTGCTGCGTTCAATTAAGGTCTGACAAACTGCCATGCATGATGAAATTCAAGTTTTAATTCTGCCTATCATGTTGTGTGGGAAAGGGGAACATCTCATGTGCTTACATGACAACTTGAGAAGCACAACTTTTTTGCTGTACATTTGAATACACAGAGGTGGAAGAAGTACCCAGCTTGTTTACTTCTGTAAAAGTAGCAACACCACAGTGTAAAAATACTCTGTTACAAGTAAAAGTACTGCATTCAAAATGTTACTGATATAAAAGTACAAAAATATTAGCATCAAAACAGTACTAAAAGTACCCATTATGCAGAATGACATGGTTAACATTAATGTATATCATATTATTGGACTATAATTATTGATGAATTATTGTGATGTATTATTAACTAAGGTAGCTTGTAAATTTCCCATTGGGGTTCAATAAAGTGTTCTACTGTACTGTGTTGATACTAAAGCTGATTAACTGATTCTAAAAACTAAATATTAAATAAAGTTATCACATACATAAGTGAATAAAATGTTCACTGTATGAAGTAGCAGAAAATGAAAGTACTGAAGATACCTCAAAACTGTACTTAAGTACAGTACTTGTGTAAATGCACTTGGTTATTTTCCATAATAATCAAACAAAATTAAGCTCTGACAAATATTTTTCTCTTTAATCCCAGATTGTAAACAGTATTTGTGTTACATTTGGTTGTCTCTACATACATGTATGCACATCAGTCCTTCATCTATTACTCATTCACCAATCAAACCATTTTAACTTAAATCACAATGGTAATTAACAAGCAATGCTCCAAAAACGTGCAGGATGGTCACTGCATTACTGCAAGCAAAAACAGTTACCAAGTATTCTGTTGGTGGAAACTAGTAGTATTTCATCAGTGCATCAATCAATTTTTCCTTCAGTGGTCCCACTAGATAACTGGGGCAGTGCAATAAGCAAGCAGCGGGGGGATGTAAAGAGACGCACTGCCACCTGGTGTCAGCTGAGACAAAAAGCCAAATGATGTTTTAAGCTGAGTGCTAACAGCAGGTGGCAGCACATTGGCTTTAGGGGGAGAGTGAATTCACATGGTGAAAAACTTCTAAAACAATCCACACATGCATAATATAAAGTCCAGCAATCACATTCCTGAGCTGCATGGCCTGGAGAGAGCATCAGAGCTTATAAATAAAGCAAACATGATCATTTGCTCTCAGCCTCTTTTGTCTTCCTTCAGAGATATAATCTATTTGAGACATAATTTAATGGGGTAAATATGAGAAACCGCACTACAAATAGCTGGTGTGATCTGACCTGAGGATTTGTTGCCTTTCAATTAAACCAAACTCATATCATCACTGGAAATGAGTTACTGTGATTGTCGGCTGTACGTCACCCTGTTGTTATCCCCTAACCACAGGTGCGTCAGTAGGGCCTGTGTCAGTGTGGGAGCTGTTGCCACAATTGGGCGCTGCACAGATTTTACACATGGAGTATCTCCTTTTTTGCTGGGGAGTTTTCCAAAGCTTCACAAATAATCCTGAAGATGTCATCAGGGTAAACTCAGTATTGTTTTAAACAGAAAACCAGTGGTACAAAATGGACAGAAGTGGACATTCAGGTGGCAGTGTGTTCTGAATTGCACTATGGTAAATAAATCAGTGTTTTTGGAACTTTACCCATACTACAGACTGTGCATTGTGAGTTGCTAGCAGCACCAAAAAAAAAAAAAAAAAGACATTTCCTGTCTGAAAGTCTCCAAAGGTTTCATTACTCATTTCATTACTACTCATCTCACGACCCCTCTGAGAGGAGGTGACCCCTAGAGTGGCAATCTGAGGACTAAAGCTAGCTATGTATATTAAAGGGTCAGGCTGCTTTTAATGGTTCCACCTTGTACTAGTCTGCTGTCAACAGTGTACTTACTTATCTTAACCTTGTTACTTGTGGTCTTGACCAGACATGGATTCATTGTTCCAAACAGGAACAGGTCTCACTGCAAGGAAAGCAAGTGGACAAAAACATTAAAGCAATATCAAAGTTTTATTCTTAAAATGTAGTATAGAGGAACAGTAGTACAATTCAGACAGAAAAAAGGAGAATGTAGTTCCATCTTTGTAAGCCTTGGATAAAAACGTAAAAAGAGTAACCTGAATTTACTTTGTGTTCGGAGGGCACTGAGGCGCGGCCCGAGTTTTGCATCACTGTTAAAGTTCGAGAGAAATTGAAAAATACAACCTTTTGCAACAGTGTAAAAAAATACAGCTGGGGGAAAAACCTCTGCTTTACATCTGTAGTGTTTTTGCTTTGTTTTGTGTTTTTTTTTTTTGTCCATATAACAAATACAGCATAAAATCTAAAACGATACATCATAGTTTTGAGTTTCATTCATTACAGTAAAATCAGTAGGATGGTAAATAGTATCAAAAGAACAAACAAGACAACAGGATGGTGTGATGAACAAGCACACAAAGCATAAAGTTAAAGTTCACGGAAATAAACCACCAGGTCAGGAGGTCTGGAGCTGACTGTCAGCATGTTCCACAAATTAAATAATATTCTTCATATATATATATATATATATATATATTTAATATATTCTCAACATGTATATATATCCATAATAGAGCCCATCCCATAGTGATCTGAAGGTAAAGGTGACATGAAGAGGATGAATATCTCTGACTTAAAATATATCTTCCACTCAGAGTAAAGGGAAGTTACACATCTTCTGTATCATTAGCACTTCAGTATATACTGTGTATTCCACTGCATAAGAACAGATACTGCTGTTCCAAGTTTTAACCCGCAAACAATTTTCTTTTTTAAGAAAATGTGCTTAAGAAAAAGAAAAAAAAAAAAAAAAAAAGGAAATATCTGGGGAAAGGACAAAATTAAAAATATCTGTGGAAAGGACAAAATTAAACAAAACGTGTATCTAGATTAAAGTGAATGATTCTGTAGCATACAAACATTTAAAAATCTCAACAGTTACAGACACAAGCAAGGATTTTCTACTCTAAGTTTTCACCTGGCTTTTTTTCATACATTATATTTCAACAATAATTATAAAACAATTTTGGTTGGACAAATAGAAATTAACAGTCTTGATTGCATTTTGGAGTCAATATATAATATTAAATAAAAACAAGGTTTAATAAAAAAAAGTTGCACATTGGAAGAAAGACATGAAAGTTCTAATATAGTTCCATTCAGACCCGCTTTTGGGGAAGCAAGAGAACATAAAAAGAAAATTTATAATCAATGAGCGCAAAAGTAAGTGCATGTCTATGAGGTGCCATAGAGCTTCACTTTTTGTGGAACGAAGTGTTTTTTTAAGCTGGCAGACATCAAATTACACAGACAACATTGTTTATACCTTTTAAACATGAAAATGGAGTTCTTTTAGACCTAGAACATCATTCATCACACAGCTTCCCCCTCACAACCAACGTTCAAGTGATTCAAAATATATATACTATATTTATTATATAACTCAGTACCAAATATAAACAAACGCATACAGGTATTGATGCTGACTTAGGTCCTCAAAATGTCAATTACAAGTACTGCCGGTAGTTCTATAAAATGGTGTGTGTGTGTGTGTGTGTGTGTGTGTGCACGCATTAAATAGAACAAAAAGCTTAAAAACGATGGCAAAGCATACCTGATAGTCGCCGTAGCACAACAGTGTTCTATAGTTTAAGCTGATTATACATGTATAACTGAGTCAGGTTAAGCTTTATGATTATAAACATCATATATAGCCTGTAGGTCCAGTATTCTGCGACAAGCATTACAGCACCAAACGGTTCATCATTTGGCAAAATTCAAGCTTTAAGTGAAAGTCAAATGCTTTTGTTTAATAATAAAGTGTTACTGTGATGCTGTGATTTTTTTAAAGCTTTAGTGTGCGGTCTGTTTGGCACAATATCACAGCCCTCTTAAATTAATCATAAATATGGCTGTGATACATCAGAGTCACAAAACAGATTTTTGGTTCCAAGATTTGTGCAGGGAAAGGAAAAAGAAAGTAAAGAACAATATAATAATAATAATAATAATAATAATTATTAGCGCATCTAAACAAGATCTACAGAGCAAGTCAAAAATCTTCCTCTCGGCAATAATGCTCTTCTTCTGTGTACTTCTACAAGCACCAAGCAATAGACTCTCAAACGGAGCAGAAAGCACCAGATGCTACTGTGCCTCTGCTGCAGACAAAAACAACAGAAATAAAAATTATAGAATTTAATAAGACCATAAATTCATAAATTAAATAATTAACATTTTTGTTAGGTGATTGGCCTACCCCAAAAACTACCTCACCCTGCCAAACTCGACCCCCCCAAAAAAAATAAAACCAAAAACAAATAAAAATATATCACCAAAAACTGATTTCTCTTATTTGTCATTAGAATCTCTGTCTTGTGGGCTCTGGGCCCAGAGCTGGACACATTTGAACAATAACAAAATCTGTACATCTTGGAGTTCCCATTCTACCAAAGCTTCTTTTTTTTTTTAAATCCATCTCTTTGTTATATCGTTGCACAATTAAGTAACCTCAAGGTTTGATAGCACTTTGGAGTTGATTGTTTACCAGCTAGGTTTTGTATACACATATATTAAACATCAACTTTTTTTTTTAATTTTGTTTCTCAAGCTTGTCAAAATGCTCACTCCTCTTCTGGGGCAACACCAGCGTTGCCCTCACCCCAGTTTGATTGGTCATTATCAGTAGGCTCCTCGCCCTCCAGGTCCTCCCCTTCCTCGCCTTCGAAGTCTTCATCGCGAGGAAACTCCATGCCCTCCAGACCCTCCTGAGTGGCCTGGTGTGAGTCGGCGCAGTCTGCGCACACACCGTAGCGCCGTGAGCCGTGACGAATACCAACACTGGCTGCGAGCATGAAGATCTTCTTGCACACCATACATTTATACTTTTTGTCTTTCTTGTGCACCTGTAAGAGGAACAGGGAGAGTTGGAAGATACACCAACTGGCTTTCTTGGTCAACTAGATGGGAATGTTGAGGTCGCTCACATCTCTAAGGTTTAATCTGTAGAAGTCACCACTAGGCAGGACTTGAATGCTGAATTCTGTCAACTTTACGCTTTTTTTGTATTAGCAAATGACACATAATGTGTTCATTACTGAACTTTACAGGTGCTGGCATGCAGACTGTTACTTTTGGCCTGAGTCATGTGAGCTGTTCCCCCGTTTCCAGTCTTTGTGCTAAGCTAACCAGCTGCTATTTACCAGCTGTAGCCACTTAGAATACAAACTTGACAGCAGTATCAATCCAACCCTCAGTAAACAAATATGCATATGCCACAAAATGTCCTTTAGACATTAAGGGGGAACAGATACACTGCCCTGCTGCAGAAAGAACTTGTATACAAAAAAAGTCAGCTCAGTCTAACGGTTGATTTTGGCTCAATGAAACAATTCAAACTACATCAGCATTCAACAGGACAATGCCTGTCTGTTCTTCAAGTCATGTTGCCAAATTATTTACATTTAGTCTCCTTTTGTTAAACATGTGATGTCTCACAAATCCATTTTTGACCACTTTGCAAAAGACCCTAAAGCCTCTGCTGTTAAATATCTTGTTGCACTCACTCTTGTGCGAAAGCTGCGAGACACACACATACAATGAGGTGAAAGATGGGCAAAATGCTGCAGTGTTTGTTAGGAGGCACTGGAGGCACATTACATATGATAGAGAGGAGCCTGTGAGTTTGTGTGGGGACTCACCAGGGAATGTCTCTTTACATGCTCGCGGCGGGTGAACAGCTTGCCACATATGTCACAGCTAAAGGAGCGCACACCCGAGTGGATGATCAGGTGCCTTTTGAGCGTGCGCCGGTGCTTGGCAATGTAGTTACAGTGGGGGCACTTGAGTTTATTGAGGGCGCTGTGCGACGACTCGCCTGGGTAGAGACAGAGAAAACAAACATACAGATGCAGTGAAAAGTCAACAAGAGAGACTTTGTTGCTTTATGCATTAAAAACATTTACACTTTGTCCTTTGAAGCTGACTGGATTAGAAGTCACTTTAAGCTAATACATTAGCGATCAAGCAAACATTTTTCATAAAAGCTACAGATCCTGTGATGAGAGTGTGTGGCAGGAACCAATATCCTGTTTATCACAGCACTGAGAAAGGATGCAGTAACCATTAGAGAAAACATAAACCATAAACTTTGATGCATCACAGAAAGCACATTTAGTTGAAACCATAGACGCTTGTTAAACTGCACAGATACAACTGACTATTGGGGCAGACGTACAACTTCACAATCCAGCTCTATGACTGTTGCTAAGTAACTGGAGCTTCTCTGTAATGATGATGGACGCCACTCCATAGCAGTTTTTCATATTAGCAGTTAATGTACAGCGGCAACATGGATCTGATTTTACAACATAAACATAATGCAGTGTGGTGAGAGTTGTGATTGCAGCTGGAATGCCTTCACAACAACTACAACTAATAATTTAATGGCTCATATTCGGGTCAAATTGCAAGCATACAAACCAGCATACATAAAATCTTAACACCATTTAGCAAATATTACAAGGCTAAAGCAGTGTTCTGCACATACACGCTCCTTAATATGTGATTACCAGCTCCTAACATCAAACAACTTTAGAAAAGTTACAGATAGGCTTACATTATACGTCTTAAGAACTAGAGCCACTGGTATAAACATATTTTTCATTTCAGGGTGCATCTCAGAGCAGCACTTTCTTCATTAACCCTCCTGGGATGTTTATGTCACTGAGGACAGCTGGGCTTACAGATAAATAAGTCGGCTATTGATTTTGAAAAGGCTCCAAACACAGAGCTAGTCTTCACCATCGAGAGAGCGAGGGAACAGGGCAGGCCCTTTTGTTTGAGCCACAGAGCACACAACAGAGGCGTTGTCAGGGCAGGTTGCTAGGGGGGAGGGTTGATGAGAAGCAGGTCACCTGTGGATTCCTTCTACA